AACAAAGTACATTGGCCTAATAAGGGGTTAAGATATCGTATTGCTTCAAGGAAAGATTACAGGATACGTATAGACAAAACCCCATCCTCACTCTCATTTTCTTTTTTATTTTAGCATAAAAAATGAAAACTAAAAACTAAAAACGAAATGATTATAAAAAAGACCCTACAAAATTTAGATTTTAAATTTTAACTCTTAAGTTTACCCCAAAACTATTATTCAATCGACTGTGAGTGAAGGAGCTTTGTCTAAGCTCAAAGACTAAAATCATTGCTTGCAATGTTGTATTGTCAAATTAATGTTAATCTGCGGTAATTAACTTGTACAAGTCTCCCCAAAAATAAAAAATGCATTCAAATCATCCGAGGCAAACTTTCGCCGCACTTAAAACATGCAAGTCCCCATATTAATCAACTTCTTTATATAATATGCCAATCGGTGAAGCTGTTATTGAGTTAAATTGAACCCAAAGTCTCATCTATAAAGCTAATAGCTTATCATCCTCATGAGTTGGCAGCAATATAATGGCAATGAATTAGGGTCAGCTAAACCAAAAAATCATTCTATGTACCAAGCCTCAGGATTTCCTTTAACAATTGCCCCTTTTTTTTTCATATCAACAGTAGTCGTCCATGAAATTCAAACTTGCAATTCCCTCTAATAAAGTGAAGAATAAGTGCTATTAGACCAAATGATCATTAACAAGACGTTCCGAATGACTCATAATTAGTGTTGTATATTAACCAATTAATGTACAAAGGCACGTAATCGACCTTATTGATAGGAGTTTAAGGATTCATTTTCTATTACAATCGGATATATATCATATTATTCTTGTCTAAAAATTTAAAAAAAACATCTTTAAGTAACAACATATAAAAGAACAAGATTAAACCATGACACAAAGAAAAACTTGGTATATTCACATCCCTTCATAGGCTTCATTGTGTGTATTTCATACATTGATACTAACATGAACAAGTAACATATATAAAAGAACAAGATTAAATTAAACCATGACACAAAACCAAAACGCATGAAATCCTCAAAAGGCAGCCCTCAGGGCTTCTTTGCAGCTCGGTACCTTTGAGCAAATCTATGAAACAAAGCCAGAGCATTGCTGGTGACCTGAGCCACATTCAGCACCTTCCCTTTAATGGTGGCCTTCAACTTGCTCATGTTCTTCCCTGGAAGCTCATCCACGCAAGTGTATGCATCAGTTAAAGCTGTGCTCACCCAAGTCTCAACATTGCTTATGTGCCAAAACAAGTCATCACCCACAGTTGCTTGCCCTAAACGACGTAGTTCCTTAATGGACTCACTGAGTTGGGCCACACTATCGTTGATCTGGTTCAAGCAATCATGCACAACTTGGTATTCTCTGGCCTTCAGTTCCTTTAGCTCTCTTGCCACCTTGAGGACATAGGCTCTTGCGTACTGGGCCCTGTACAGGCTCACGGACAAGGCAACTTGAGCCAGCTGCTGTGGGCTTTGGATGGTCATGTTAGGCTTGATGTAGGTGGAGAGGCAGTGAACGCATAACTTTGGGTAGAGGGTGGTCCGGCACGAGGCCTCGATGTAGGCCCGGGCCCGGGAACGTCGAGGCTGTCGAGGATGGCTAGCAAAGGAAGGCTCAACACTGCTCAAAAGGGAGAGAATAGAGAGGAGGATGAGCAGCAAGGAGAAGCTGAATTTTGCCATTGTTGTTGAGAATTGAGATATTGTGAAATGTAAAGAAGGGTTTTGTTTTGAACTCTGAGTTTGAAGAGAGATGTGATGGGGCAAGAGGATTATATAGATGTTAATTAAGCTAGGGTTATCACATGGGACACATGGTTAGCTTAACGTGCGCTTTACGTGCATTAAGCACACACAAAAATTTGTGCATGGATTATTGTATTGAGGTCTAGAAGAAATATCTGAATAGAATAAATAAGATTGGATCAACATTATGAGATGACTAAGAGATAAGTATCTGTCTACCATCTGCATTATTTTTGACAATGCAAGCAAGAAGCTCTAACTTTAAGTAATGCCTGGCTAGGTCGACCTTTGATTGTGTAGTTGTGCTTACCCAACATTTGTAGCACTTCACGTGTTATATGTTTGTCAAAGTTTCATGTAGTTTACGTCTTCATCATTCTACTTTGTTCACTTAATTTGATACACTCCAGGTCATCAACTTACATATCTTTTATAGTATGAATGTGTTTTTCTTATCGTATTCGTCTATTTTGTTAGTCAATAGAAGGTTAGGTGATAAATCACATAAAAGAAGGAGATTCTATCTCAAAATATGATATTAGCTACGTGTTATAACATGAGTGAATTAGTAACATCACGTCACAGTCACCAAAAAATTTCTCTTATGCGTCCAAACTTGTGACGTTTTGAACTTCCACCTTTTGATTAACCTCAAATTCGTAAATCTTAACTCGAAACTACAGCGTGATGTCCAAAATAAATCAGCAAATAAAACATAAGCAGAGATCCTGTTTTCATTTGATAATACCCGTCGATCCGTCAACGAAATTCTCTCGAGTATTATAATATAGAGAAAATGTTTGATGAATGAAATTAAGAAATTAACGTAAAATTATTGTTTGTATTAAACTAGTGTAAACAAGAACTGTTTAGGGAACATAATCCTTAGACTAGGGTTATGAAGATTCTAGAATAATGCAACAAGGAGACACATCACACCACTGACCAATCCATCACGTGGGTTTAGGTGGTTTCAACAAATGGACTTTTTCCTTGGCTACAATCTTGGAATATCTTGCATGCGTTGCATTGAGTGAGATTGTATGTTACTTTTGTCTTTGTTTTACAGATAAAACATAATTGCTGCCTGCAAATAACCTTCAATTGACACTTATTCCCTTCTATAAAACATGCTCTCTTTTTTCTTTTCTTTTTTTTCCATTTACCAATGAATGTCAACGAGGCCCTGTTTTCTATCAAGATGAGCCATGTGAGAGATATGATAAACTATATTGCATGCTTTGTCCCAAGACTCCCAAATCACAAGGCAAGAGGAAAAGAAAAGCTCCATACAAAACACCGTCTTCACGTGGGTTTAGGTGGTTTCAACAAATGGACCTTTTCCTTGGCTACAATCTTGGAATATCTTGCATGCGTTGCATCGAGTGAGATTGTATGTTACTTTTGTCTTTGTTTTACAGACAAAACATAATTACTGCCTGCAAATAACCTTCAATTGACACTTATTCCCTTCTATAAAACATGCTCTTTTTTTTCTTTTCTTTTTTTCCATTTACCAATGAATGTCAACGAGGCCCTGTTTAAAGGGTCATGCTAGGGAGACTAACTTGGGATACCAACTTGTGTACCAACTCTCTAATAGAAGTGGAGCCCACCAATACAATGGGTCCCACGCTCTATTAGAGAGTTTGTATCCCAAGTTGGTCTCCCAAGTTGGTCTCCCTAGCATTTTCCTTTCTATCAAGATGAGCACGTGAGAGATATGATAAACTATATTGCATGCTTTGTCCCAAGACTCCCAAATCACAAGGCAAGAGGAAAAGAAAAGCTCCATACAAAACACCGTCTTATGCATTGACAATCAATTGGCACATTGATGCATATAAGGGGCTCAGGGCCAGGCCATATCAGAAAGAAAATCTTAAAAAAGAACCAAATACTATCACATAATAAAAAGGATCTGAATCAGTTAAATTTTGATTCAACTCTCCATGCATCAGAGGAAAAACTATGCAATGAGAATATACTCAATGGCAGTTATTTATCACAAGCCCTTCATTCTCAATCAGAACTTTGATCTTCATTACATACTACCTTTTACCCTAAGAGATACACAAATACATAAATTTCGGAAACTACATAAATAAATCATCGCTCTAAATGCTGCATGACCATGAGTATCACATTAAAATTCTGAACTCATTTTCCTCATGGTTTTTTATACACTCAGTTTCTAACAAACAGTGAGAACATATGTGCGTATCAGTTATTACACAAGCACTTGCAACAGCACCAAGAGAGAGAGAGAGAGAGAAACATTCTTTGGCAAATATGGGACTCAAAGGCATACTTCTTGTGAGCTCTCTTTGCATAAACAACATTGGGTTCAATAGAATTGGCTGCTGCATCAAGGTCCCACCCAGCTGCCTTCATCATGTTAATCAGCGGCTTAGAAAAATCATGAATAGCTTTGTATGCAGCTTCAACAACTGATGTGAAGAGATCGGAAGTTAGATCCACAGGCGGAAAACCATTTTCATCAGCGGAACCTTCTGATTCTTTGGTAGACATGCCCCTGAGCTTTAGATTCTTTTCTAACTTTGCTTGCTTCTGTTTTGCCTCCTCAATATGCTGCTGAAGCTGAAGGATTTCAGAATCCTTATTCTGGATTTCAGATTGGAATTTCTTAACCATAACCCCATAGGTTTTCAGCAGAATTTGTTGTTCTTGAATCTCTGCAGCTAGGCGGGAGTCCTGTGGAGAAGCACAAACTGGGCTGGGATTGTTCTCCCTGTAGAAGTGCTTAAGTTCAGAAAGGTTTTTTAGCTCAGAAATTACAAGTTTATCCGCAGCTTGAATTTTTTCAGGGTCGTAGGGAGTATGAGCAGCTTGGAGCTGGATGTAAGCTGACTTCAGGGAAGAGATGTTCGTAAAAACCTTAGATATCAAGGCTTCCACAGCTTCTGGATTCTGATTCATGGCCTCTTCCATGGGTTGTGGATGAACCTTTTGGTTATTGCTCTCACGGAGTTGAGTATCTCTTGCTCCAGTGGGTAGCATAGCTACTTCCAAAAAGAGTGGTTAAATTGACTTTCTTCAGAAAAAACACCAAAACACCAAAACCTGCAAACTTCAGCATAAGTGTTAATTGCATAATCTGAAATCAGGTGATGACACAAAAATAATGTAGGTTATCCAAAAGTACGATAGCACTGCTGTGTTCTTCCATCCAGCATACACATATATCAAAAAAATTAGTCCATAGACATTCAGATTAACAAGTATTCACTCATGAATATGACTCAATAAAGATGTGTGTTCCCAGGTTTATGCATAAAGAATTGAATTCTGAACAAAATTTCCTGACAATGATAGGTTTGCATAAACTGACAGACAAGTCTCATGAACAAATCCATGCTAGAATCCCTAACCAAGACACATGCCATACACTCTTCTTATATTGTTACTTCAAATTCTAACATATACCATTTCTTGTATAAGAGAAAATCCACCATGAATAATACATCTTTGAAGATTACAATTTTATTTTCCAGAATTTGGACACTTCAATGAAGCATTGACATGTATCAGGTAGTATCAAAAAATAAATTCTACCCAGAAAGGATCCTAAATGGGCATTGCACCCCAGTAGAAGTACTAATGCTACGTAGAAAGCACTTCTTGTATGACTTTATCATAGTACTTCTACTCCATCTTAGTTTTAGTTTTCTTTTCAGAAACTGACAGGACACTTTATATGGCCAATTGTAAAATCGACAACCATACACTATGTTTAAACTTTCTTTCTCATGTTCTAACTTAAAGTAACACCCTATAACTTAGATTTACAAACTAGAAAAACACCCAAATACCTCCATAATCCAAACATTAAAGGTATCTATTCCAGATTGACACCTTATATGTGGACACAGCGAATCTGCTGACCTTATATCTTGGAAAAGCATGGGGAACATGTAACATATGTGCATGTACACTATAAACACAAATGATTCAAAATTGCAGCTCCCATATTTCTGCATTTGTCAATTGATGGCTTGTAGAATGATAACTATGATAAGATATGATCTTCTTTAGTGCAGGAATCTACTTGAGTTGAGGCTAATTTTTATTTTGATTTTTTTATGCAGGGATCTAGTTAAGGCTTACCATTACACCTGCCTTTCTATGTGTATGTAATTAAATGTATCACGGCTACATGATATGCATTATCTTCACTTTCCTATGCTCAAGATTGTCCTTACACTTAACAATATGATTGACAGAAAAAACGAAAAACATGGAGAGACACTTGACTATCACACAAAACAACCGATGCTAAAATCAAAGTAACTATATAATTATGACCAGCTCCACCGCATCAACGATTGAAGGAATAAGTTCAAATTAATATGATCACCCAAAATACGTAACTAGAACATTAGGAGCAAATTACAAGCAACAGTCCTAAAAAAGTCAGTTCATTTACAGAAATTAGTCATAATCTAATAAGATGGTTCACACAAAAAAGCATTGTACAATTCTCAGTAATTCATACCGAAAAAATTCAGATAATGGGTATAAATAACAATCTAAGAACAAAACTTGAAATGACAAGACAGCTATTTAAAATAGGAAAAAAGGAAGAACCCAAAACATATATTGCAAAAATGAGAAACGGGCATGAGCAGTTTACCTATTAGGACCACATATCTGCCACAGACCGCATCTGGCAAACATAATAAACAGCCTTCAACCTAAAACACAGTAGAATATTT